TGTGCACAAGGCCCAGAACAAGAGCAAGGGGAAATACAAAGCTCAGCAGACCACCAACTTCAAGAAGCAGAAGAAGAACAACAACAATCCTAATCAGGATGAGAGGACTTGCTTTGTGTGTGGCCAAGTTGGTCATCTGGCTAGGAAGTGTCCACAGCGCAAGGGGATGAAGGCACCTGCAGGGCAGACTTCTAAGTCTGCTAATGTGACCATTGGCAACACTGGAGATGGAAGCGGGTATGGTAATTTACCTACTGTTTTTTCAGTTAATCAATCTACTAATTGGTGGGTTGATACTGGGGCCAATGTACATGTTTGTGCTGACATCTCATTGTTTTCTTCTTATCAGGTCGCACGGGGTTCCACCGTCCTAATGGGGAATGGGTCACATGCTTCTGTTCATGGTGTTGGCACGGTAGATCTGAAGTTTACTTCGGGAAAGATCGTGCAGCTGAAGAACGTGCAGCATGTCCCTTCTATCGACAGGAATCTTGTTAGTGGCTCCCGTCTGACTAGAGACGGATTTAAGTTGGTTTTTGAGTCTAATAAAGTAGTTGTGTCTAAACATGGATATTTTATTGGTAAAGGTTATGAGTGCGGAGGCCTGTTCCGCTTTTCCCTTTCTGATTTCTGCAATAAGTCTGTGAACCATATTTGTGGCAGTGTGGATGATGAGGCTAATGTTTGGCATTCACGTTTATGTCATATTAATTTTGGCTTGATGTCTCGGCTTTCCAGCATGTGTTTAATTCCTAAGTTTTCCATTGTCAAAGGTTCTAAGTGCCATAGTTGTGTGCAATCGAAGCAACCTCGCAAGCCTCACAAGGCTGCCGAGGAGAGAAACTTGGCACCACTAGAACTCCTACATTCAGATCTTTGTGAAATGAATGGGGTGTTGACGAAGGGTGGAAAACGATATTTCATGACATTGATTGATGATGCTACTAGATTTTGCTATGTGTACTTGTTGAAAACGAAAGACGAGGCTCTAGACTATTTTAAAATTTATAAGGCAGAAGTTGAAAATCAACTTGACAGAATGATAAAAAGGCTTAGGTCTGATCGTGGTGGAGAGTTTTTCTCGAACGAGTTTGACTTATTCTGTGAGGAACATGGCATCATACATGAGAGGACGCCTCCCTATTCTCCAAAGTCTAATGGGATTGCTGAAAGGAAGAACCGCACACTGACTGACTTGGTGAATGCCATGTTGGACACCGCGGGACTGCCTAAGGCATGGTGGGGGGAGGCATTGTTGACCTCAAATCATGTGTTAAACAGAGTTCCTAACAGAAATAAGGACAAAACACCATATGAGATATGGATTGGTAGAAAACCATCACTTTCTTATTTGCGCACATGGGGGTGCTTGGCGAAAGTCAATGTACCAATAACGAAGAAGCGCAAACTTGGACCTAAGACTGTGGACTGTGTTTTTCTGGGATATGCTCATCATAGCATTGCCTATAGATTTTTAATAGTTAAATCCGAGGTACCGGACATGCATGTTGGTACAATTATGGAGTCTCGTGATGCTACCTTCTTTGAGAGCTTTTTCCCAATGAAGGATACACATAGTGGTTCGAACCAACCCTCTGAAATAATTCCCAGTTCAATCACACCACCAGAACAAACTGAACATACACATGAACTTGTCTCTGAGGAGGATGTCAGTGAAGCTCCTCGAAGGAGTAAGAGACAAAGGACGGCTAAGTCTTTTGGTGATGATTTCACTGTGTACCTCGTGGATGACACTCCTAAGTCAATTTCAGAAGCATATGCATCTCCTGATGCAGACTACTGGAAGGAGGCTGTCCGTAGTGAAATGGATTCCATTATCGCTAACGGGACTTGGGAGGTGACAGAGCGACCCTATGGGTGTAAACCTGTGGGGTGCAAGTGGGTGTTCAAGAAGAAGCTTAGGCCTGACGGTACTATTGAAAAGTACAAGGCTCGGCTTGTTGCTAAGGGCTATACTCAGAAAGAAGGCGAAGATTTCTTTGACACTTACTCATCTGTTGCTAGATTGACCACAATTCGTGTGCTACTTTCCCTAGCAGCCTCACATGGTCTTCTCGTTCATCAAATGGACGTTAAGACAGCTTTTCTTAATGGAGAGCTGGATGAGGAGATCTATATGGATCAACCTGATGGGTTTGTAGTTGAAGGTCAAGAAGGCAAAGTGTGCAAATTGTTGAAGTCTTTGTATGGTCTGAAACAAGCTCCTAAGCAATGGCATGAGAAATTTGACAAAACATTGACATCTGCAGGCTTTGCAGTCAATGAGGCAGATAAATGTGTGTACTATCGCCATGGTGGGGGTGAGGGAGTTATTTTGTGCTTGTATGTTGACGACATACTGATATTTGGGACAAACCTTGAGGTGATAAATGAGGTTAAATCATTCTTGTCTCAAAATTTTGATATGAAAGATTTGGGAGTAGCTGATGTTATCTTAAACATTAAGCTAATAGAGGTGAGAATGGGATTACACTCTTGCAGTCCCATTATGTGGAGAAGATCTTGAATCGCTTTGGCTACATTGATAGTAAGCCTTCTCCAACACCTTATGATTCTAGCTTGTTGCTTCGCAAGAACAAGAGAATTGCTAGGAATCAACTGGAATACTCCCAAATCATTGGCTCGTTGATGTACCTGGCTAGTGCAACTAGGCCTGATATCTCCTTTGCTGTGAGCAAGTTGAGCCGATTTACCTCTAATCCGGGAGATGATCACTGGCGTGCGCTTGAGCGAGTAATGCGCTATCTGAAAGGTACTGTGGAATTGGGGCTTCACTATACTGGGTATCCTGCGGTACTGGAGGGTTATAGTGATTCTAACTGGATCTCTGATGTGGATGAGATCAAAGCCACTAGTGGATATGTTTTCACACTGGGTGGTGGTGCTGTTTCATGGAGGTCTTGCAAACAGACCATTTTGACGAGGTCAACCATGGAAGCAGAGCTAACGGCACTGGATACTGCTACTGTTGAGGCAGAATGGCTGCGTGATCTATTAATGGATCTGCCTGTTGTTGAAAAACCGGTGCCGGCTATCCTTATGAACTGTGACAATCAAACGGTAATTGTCAAAGTGAATAGTTCTAAGGATAATATGAAATCGTCTAGACATGTGAAAAGACGATTGAAGTCTGTCAGGAAATTAAGAAACTCCGGAGTTATAACGTTGGATTACATCCAAACAGCGAGAAACCTGGCAGATCCCTTCACGAAGGGACTATCACGAAATGTGATAAACAATGCATCGAAGGAGATGGGTTTGAGACCCATGTGAGTTATACTATGGTGGTAACCCAGTCTATGTGATCGGAGATCCCGTGAATTAGATCCTGGGAAGAACAAACCATTAGTAAACTAGAGGAGAGTATCAATATATATACCCTCTCCAAGTGAAGATGCATGTACTCTCGTGAGCTGCAAGGCAGGTTGGCTATGCCTTAATTAGTTCTGTTGGCTTTAATTAGCGAAGATGTTGTCCTGCAGAGCATTCTTGAAAGAACTCACCTTTGTGAGCTTGACTGTTGGTCGCAGTCTATGAAGATTTTGGGTGAATCTTCTAGGAAGCTTACTAAAGACCTAGGAGTATGACTTATACGCTCCACCCGAGGGGTAGTCTACAGACGGTCTAGTACCAGATAAGACTTTGAGTGAAACTTGCTTGCACAAGACTTGCAATTCAAGGCGTAGTCCATTGTTCAAGTTGTGAGTAAGTGTAGCTTGGAGTTCTAGGTGGATGTTCAACCTTAATTGGTCTCCATCGAACCGCTGGTATATAAACAGTACATTGGAAAAGGCAAATCTCAGTAGGATTTTGAGATTTGGTGGGGGATTGTTGGAATTAATGAATGGGCCTTAGCCCACTCGAAGATTAATTCTTTGGAAAATCACAAAAGCCCACCTCATGGGATGGCATGCATGTGGAGTTTAGTACCACCTTGCTTATTCTAGGAGAGGGGGACCTCCTTAAAAGGGAGGATGTCCTCCTAGCCACTTGAAGCATGTGTGGTGGAGAGAAGAGGGGAAACACACGCGCGCGCTCGCTCGCCTCGCCTGGCAGGGCAGGGCAGGGCAGGCGGCGCGCGTGCACGACGTACGCGTCGAATGGTCCGAAAAATTGGCTCCTCACCCTTGCGCAGATGCAGCCTCCTTTTGCAGTTTTGTTTTGCTGCAAATTCGGATTCGTTTTTGTGTTGGAAACGTTCCGAAAAATCCGGTGCGTGCAAACGGCGTGGAGTCCGGATAAGTTACGTGCGACTTATCCGGTTCGGTTACGCGCAGTAGAGATCGTGCGGGCGCCCTGATCAAGCGACCCTTCTCTATATAAACCGACCCGCCGTCTTCACGCAATATATACGCAAAATCAATCTAGGGTTTGCCTCCTACTCTGTACTGCGCCGTCGCTCGTAGACTACTCCATCCCGCTCGCCGGCGTGCACCAGCGATCGGGAGAGCAGGTCTCCGGAACCTCTGCCTTTGACGTCCTGCACCGGGAGAAGGCGGCAATAAGGTTTTTGGGAAGCGCTTCGCGCGACTGCTCCCTGTTCGTTCGCGACGGCTCGCCTTCCTCTTCGCTCGCGTGTTTCGTGCCTTCGTAGACACCTGCGAAAAGTTTCGACCAAGCAGCCGGTCTTTTCGTCACCTCGGTACGTGTTCAATATGTTGCGCATATTTGATCTGTTCATGTTATACTGTGTAGTTTACATGTGTAGATCTAATGATGCGTTCATGCTAGTTTTCATCTGTAATGTCATGATTTATTTATGGAATAGATTAAATCATTATATGTCTATAATCTCAACAGGGCTGTGCATGCCTTCAAGCCGGTACGGCATGGCCCGATTATTGGTAAACCGTGTTTAGGCCTGAGGTGCAGCCCATGGCCAGCACGGCATGGTCCGACTACTGGTGGGTCGTGCTTAGGTCTGAGGTGCAGCCTGTGAGGTTGTGACCATCACGACATGACTCAGTGTGTTTGCAGGCCGTACCGTTCTGATAGATTCTGGTCCAAGCACGACCGTGCGGCCCAGATGGCCATCTATACCACCAGTCTTCCCACGTTTCGATCGTTGGTCCCACTAATTCCACCAGTTCGACAAGTTAGCGAGACGAGAAAGCCCCAGAGTGGAATCGATCATGTCAACGACGCCAACGGCAGCATCGCGCCGGCTCGTCCTGATCCTCTGCACCCTCGCTATCTCCTGCAGCAGCGGCATCGCCGGATTCGCCGCCGGCGATGACGACGCGTTCATCCGCTGCCTCGCCGCCGCCGCTGTCCCGCCACGGCTGGTCCACACCCCGGGCTCCGCGTCCTACGCCCCGACGCTCGTCTCCTCCATCCGGAACCTCCGCTTCGTCACGCCGGGGACGCCGAGGCCGCTCGCCATCGTCGCGGCCGCCGAGGCGGGCCACGCCCAGGCCGCGGTGCGGTGCGGCCGGCGCCACGGGGTCCGCGTCCGCGCGCGCAGCGGCGGGCACGACTACGAGGGCCTCTCCTACCTCTCCCTCGACCGCCGCGAGCGGTTCGCGGTGCTCGACCTCGCCGCGCTCCGCGACGTCCGCGTGGACGCCGATCGCGCCGAGGCGTGGGTCGGGTCGGGCGCCACGCTCGGCGAGCTCTACTACGCGGTGGGCGCCGCGAGCCGCACTCTCGCGTTCCCGGCCGGTGTCTGCCCGACCGTCGGCGTCGGGGGCCACATCAGCGGCGGGGGATTCGGCACGCTGATGCGCAGGTACGGCCTCGCCGCGGACAACGTCCTCGACGCCGTCCTCGTGGACGCCGACGGCCGGCTCCTGAACAGGACCACCATGGGGGAGGGCCTCTTCTGGGCAATCAGGGGCGGCGGCGGCGAGAGCTTCGGCGTCGTGCTGTCCTGGAAGCTGCGGCTGGTCCGCGTCCCGGAGACGGTCACCGTGTTCACCATCCGCCGCCCGAGAAACCAATCCGCCACCGACCTCATCACCAAATGGCAAGAGATCTCCCCCTCACTGCCCCGAGACGTCATCCTCCGCGTCGTCGTGCAGAGCCAGCACGCGCAGTTCGAGTCCCTGTTCCTCGGCCGGTGCCGCCGCCTCGCCCGCCTCATGCGAGCTCGCTTCCCGGAGCTCGGGATGACGCAGTCCGACTGCGAGGAGATCACCTGGATCCAATCCACCGTCTACTTCGCCTTCTACTCCAGCTCCAAGCCACTGGAGCTCCTCCTGGACAGGGGCACCGAGCCGGACAGATACTTCAAGGCCAAATCCGACTACGTCCAAGAACCCATCCCACGCCACGCCTGGGAGAGCACATGGCCATGGCTGGAGGAGCACGACGCCGGGCTGCTCATCCTCGACCCCTACGGCGGCGAGATGGCCCGCGTCTCGCCGGCGGCGACGCCGTTCCCGCACCGGAAGGGCAACCTGTACAACCTCCAGTACTACTCGTTCTGGTTCGAGCACGGAGCAGAGACATTGGAGAGGCATCTGAGCTGGGTCAGGGGGCTGTATGGCGAGATGGAGCCGTACGTGTCCAAGAACCCAAGAACTGGGTATGTCAACTACAGGGACATGGATCTTGGGAGGAATGAGATCGAGGGGAATGTGACGAGCTACACGAAGGGTAAGGTTTGGGGGGAGAAGTATTTCAGGGGCAATTTCGAGAGGTTGGCGGCGGTGAAGGCCATGGTTGATCCTGATGATTTCTTCAGGAATGAGCAGAGTATTCCTCCTCTTCCTGCTGCAAAGGGGTGGAGCTCCATTTAACTGGAGTATTGTTTCTTTGCTTGAGAAATTTTTGGTAATGTGTGTGTTTCGTTCTTGGGAAATTTATTTCTTAGTGGTACAAGTGATGATGCAATTGAGATGGGATACTTTGCAGACCAAAGAGTCGTTTGGTGGTATAAGTTTCACGGATAGTAATATGTATTAGGTTGCATGCACTAGCCAGTTACACCTAAAAGCCTAAACTGATAAGAAAAGACGGGCAATTCACTTTATACACTCCAACACTCCCCCTCACGCGAGACCCCCTCAAGTCTCAAGCGTGGAATATTGGAGTGGGCTGCAATTATTTTATTTAATTGCGGCGCCAGCTAGGATTCGAACTCGAGACCTCTGGCTCTGATACCATATTAAGTTGCATGCACTAGCCAATTACACCTAAAAGCCTAAGGTGACAGAGAAAGACGGGCAATTCACTTTATACACTCCAACAGTATGTACCAGAGGTCTAGAGCTATGAAGATATGTTTGTTAAGTGGATTACAAAACTGGAGAAGAATTCCTCATATCTTGCGTAGGAAGAAGTATCTGAATCAAAGAGGTTCTTTTTCAGAGGTCATCTGTTGGTGGCTTGCTGTTCTAGAAAGAGTTACATACTTGCATGAAATCAAATCTTGGTGAGAGAGATTTTTGTGAGAGGAAAAAAAGAAGTTAATATGGAACTAGTACATCCTTGATCCTTCTGGGGAGATGTTTGGTGAGGATTTTGTTCCCATCATTATATAAGTCACAAGATGAAGAGGCAATAGATATGCTATGTGCAAGAATTATAAGGTGGAGCTTACTGGGAAGAGTTCAGAAGAAATTTCACTGAAGCTGATGCGATATTTTTTGTGAAATCAATCAATGGTTATGCTTCTGGGAGGTGATTATGAATCATGCATGATCCAGATGAACTGGTATGGCCAATTGAAATTACTCCTAGATCATTATATAGAAGGATTACTTTTGGAGAGTAATTGGTAGGAGAATCGGAGTTATTTGTACAAGTAAGAGCATCTCACACAAGGTCCCTAAATACAGACCCTAGATCTCTAAAGATAAAACTTTTTTTTGTTTATGGTAGATAGAGATAGTTTACCTTGCGCAGTTCACTTAGTTGTGGAAATTAGGATGGTTTTGGAGTATGTCAAAAGAAGGAAACAATTGGTCGTATCTTGTTTCAGTTCCCTGTAGCTTATTATAGAATGTTGGTGAGTTGGATTGATAGGGAAGGTTTTTTCGATTGTCCTGGTATCACTGTTCAGTGTAGTTGCCTTGAGGGTGGTGGCGAGGCTCTCTCTTTTTTCCCGAGCAGGCTTGGGCGCAGGTCACCGGTAGGGGCTCGACGGTGCAATAGTCCAAAGGTGGCGGTTCGCTTGGCAGACTCATGGACAAGCAGGAAGCGTTGTGTGCACGGTCGGTGACGACATGAATGATTAGATTTGGCGGTGGCAGGTGTGGAGGCAGCAGTATCAAGGCCGAGATGAGGTGACATTTGGCAGCACGAATTGAACGAGATGGGCTATACGGCGTAGAGATGTGATAGGGAGGTGGCAGGCCCACAAGATGCCGACATTGGGGGTGTTTGGATGGAGGCAGGGCTTCCTCAACGCGACTGGCTGTGGTTGGTGGTGATCGCGGGAGCAGTGACGGTGGGCTGGCTTCCTTGACGTTAGTCAGGTACCTCCCTCATGAAGTTCCTCTCCTCCTTCGGTGTGGTGCTCCAAAGGTGTGGAGGCAATGGCCGAACAAATAGGGTTGGGCTGCCGAGACGACGACGCTCGCCTCCAGGCTCTGTTTGGGCAAATTCGAAGTGGAGGCCGGTGAGCAAAGAGGTGAAAGAGGGACTAAGACACAGGGTGTGGCTGCAAGGGGTAGAGGGCGTTGGCGACGATGGTCCATCACCCTTGATGTTGGTCGGGGGCTCTCATCTCCTTGTGGAGCTCCGTCCCTTCTTTTGTGGGGAGTTTTATAGGTAGGATAGAGGTAATTGGTCAATAGGGGAAGTCTTGGGCTACCAAGGCAAAGTCGCTCATCCATGCTTTCCTTGGTTAGATCCAACGATGAGGCAGGTGGGGCGGAGGAGGCCTGAGCAAGCACACAGAAGAGTGGTAGCGGGGTGCAAGGCACTAGCGATGGGTTGCAGCGGCAATCCTAAGGGTCAGGACTGGAAATCGACCGGCAAAAGGGTGTTGGTCCAGTGTGGTGGAGGCCATGTGCGGTCACGTTTGGATGATGGTAATTGAGATGATGGGCAACGAACTATGACAAGATGGTTGTAGGGGTCTAGGCTTAAGTCTAGCTAGTTATTTTCGAGGATGCCGTAACCCCATTGGGGCACTATCGAGGTACCTCCCTCCTACCTCTCTAACGGGAATCTCTGGGTAAAAACTATGTTCAGGGTAATGGATGGGCGATGGTGGCGTGTTTGGCATCGTAACCTTCATGGCGGTATCGTTTTTGGATAATATGTCCTATGGTGTAGCTGTTAACCGGTGACGATCAGCCATACATAGCAGTTACGAATTTGGTGCTAGGCTTTCCCTCATGTGCTTGTGTCGTTAATGTGTGATTCCTAGGCATGCGCTTAGGTGCATGACCAACATCGACAACTTTATGCTATTATAAATATTTTCATATAACCTTTATTTTCCCCCAATTTTAATACGAGACTATTGGATGGTCTCTTCTTGTGCTATTCCTGCAACTAGCTGAAACCCCGCGCGTTTCTACGGGGGTTTAGTATGATACCAATAAGTAAAAATAATGTATAAAATAGCTAAACAATATAAACTTACATAAGTTGATATGGTTTATGATAATTTAAATTTAAATAGTACATAAAATGTTGATTCAAATGTAAAAGTAAGATGATGTGGTTTTATGAAAGAAGAAAGGGAGTGAGATATTTTGGACCATAGATTAATCATCTAAGGCTAAAAACAATTGATGTGATATCATTCAATGGGAGAAGGGAGAAATAATACTAACTGAGGATGAATTATATATGTATATATGATATTATAGAAAATGATGAAGATATATATTGAAATATTATGTGAATTATGTGGGACAATGATTTAACATGCTTACATTTTAAAACTCTAAAATTTAATAAACTATAAAATTATAGATAATATAACATATTTGCATGATATTTAAATGCAATAGTAATTGTTAGTGGATAATGATGTGGCATCTTGTTAATGCATGATGATGTGGAATCTTCGCATGTTGAGCTTTAGGATTTAGTGGGTTATAGTAAGATAGGATTACCATGAGGTGTATTCGGGAACCCTCACTCCCTATTACGCAAAATGAAGTAGCGTTTAATGCATAATTAATTAAGTACTCCCTCCATCCACTTTTGATAGGCATATTTCTAAACCTGAAAATTTTACTTATGATAGACATATTTCAATCTAACCACCTATCCTCTTAATAACTTTTTTGGATTTAATGTGTGAATCTCTATTCTTCCACATAAGATTGGCTACATGGGCATCGAGAAATGTAAATATTAATGAATCGCTTGTTTACAAGGAATAACTAGTAGTATGTTTAAATAGATGATAAATAGACTTACTTATCCTTAGTCATTGTGCCAAGATGAAATATGACTATCAAAAATAGATGGAGAGAGTATTATCTAAAATAAATTTGAAAAATAGATTAATATGACTTTAATTTTTATATAGAATTTTTTTAAGAAAAAAAATAACTATTTAGCAGTTTAAAAAACGTATGCGTGAAAAATAAGAAAAATAAGAGAGGTGAGTTGGGAAAGTAGAGATAAGAACTAGCATGTGCATCTGAGTTTTGCCGGAGCGATTCTATGGGCGCCCATTGTAAGTTGTAACTAATCCTACCGTTGGATTGGTACTTGAGACTGCACGTTGTCCAAACCCATCATCTTTTAACACGATCATGCCAGACTGTATATCGTTTTATAATTGTTCGGCAGCTGCGCCTGCGATGAAACCATTCTTCTGTATCCCTCTCACTAATCTGACCCCCGTGACCTCCCAACCTGGCTCAATTAACAAGGCAAATGCCCCTTAAACAGTCAAACAACCGAGGTCACGAAAACAAAAAAGCCTAAACAGAAATGGGATTACGAGAGCAGAAAGACGCGGCTTCTCGAGAGTTCCAAGTTCCAACGAACCAAAAAGCTCAAACCCCCCCCCTGGACCCCACATGCAGTGGCACGTGAGCGACTCACCCGCGGACCCGCCTCGCCCGCAACAACAAGTAGACCAGAGAAAGTGAACAGAGCGATGCACACACGCAGCCGTCGGCTTGGTTTCCCCCCCCTGAATCCAAGTCACCTCCTCCTCACACCTCACCTTCCCCCTCTCTCCTCCGATCGCGCGCGCATGGCGATGTCACGAGCCGCCGCCGCTGCCGCGGGGACTCCCGTGGCGCGGCGGCGATTGATGGGGGCCGTGGCGGCGAGGTCGATGGCGTCGTGGTTCGGCCACGTGGAACCGGCCGCCAAGGACCCCATCCTCGGCGTCACCGAGGCGTTCCTCGCCGACCCCTCCCCGGACAAAGTCAACGTCGGCGTCGTGCGTATCTGTTCCCTTCCTCCTCCTCCTCCGTTTCATCATGAATTGTCTCGATTGATCCCCGAGCTGTGTGTGTGTGTGTTCGCCGCAGGGCGCGTACCGGGACGACAGCGGGAAGCCCGTGGTGCTGGAGTGCGTGCGCGAGGCGGAGCGGCGGATCGCCGGGAGCATGAACATGTGAGATCTCATTCGGCTCCGCTTTTCTTTTTCTTTTTTTTTCATCTTCTCTCCTTTTTTTTTCTTCTTCTCGCGTGTGATCGCAAAACTGCTAGCTGGTGCGACTAGTTTTTCTTAGGTCCTGGGGAATCCATTGATGGCTTTGACGTCGACTGCCAACATATTGCGTACGCTTTCCTGCATTTATGTTCAGCATTTGATGGATCGTGTGCGAGTTCGACATGTTGCTGGCCAATTTTTTCTTCAGGGGCTCTTAAAAAAGAAGAAGAAATTTAAAGGGAGCATTCATATCTGTCAAGTTCAACACATTACTACTATCATGTTAACCGGTCTTTTTTTAACACGAACTCCATTTCTAATTGTTACGATTGATACTACTATTGAAGATTTGACCAACTCGGAGATAACTCATAGCTTTTTTAGAAAACTATTTGCCTTGCATTTGAGTAATATTTTCTAGTAAAAAGTATTTAAAAATTCATTTATCAAAATAATAATCAAGTTTTAAAAAGTGTAGTACTAACAGTGACAAATACGTTTCGAGGAGGTAGTGCTCCCTGTTTTTTCCTTAAAGAATGACTCTTCGGTGTTCCAGGTGGCGCATTAGAAAATAGTCATATCCTAATCATGGTGGTTGGAGTCCACGATGACACACATTTTGTTCGAGTACCTGAGGATTTAGCCTTCTAATCATTTCATTGGTGGAATGGAATTGCAAAACAGGGGCACTTGTTGCGGCTTTTCTCCATTGTTCGTCTTTTCCTCTGCTTTAGAAAACGGTGGAACTTTGCTTGGTCCATAGGGATGTGCTACTACTGATTGTTTGATGTGACCCCAACTTTTATATATGCCGTTGCCAGCTTGATGTGCAATCTTGTGACTTAAATTCCACTTGTTTTCTGTCATCCCTCATTTAACTTCTCTTCAACAAGGGGTGCTGATCAGAATTTATAGTAGTATGTAAATTCACTTTGATTTCTTTATTGGAGGGTCACTAACTCACTATCCTTTCAGCTAAGTAGGGCACGGTGCAAAGTAAAAAAATTCAGTTTGAACTATGTTTACACATTTTTGTGCTATGCTACGTTTTTTTTCCTTAACGCTTTGGATATCGAGGCAGTCTCCAATGCATATGTTTCATCATTATTTTTCTCACTATATATTTACAAAATTAATTTAAAGTATTACTATATGAAAGTGATTTTCATGAAAATATTCTAATATCATTTTCACATATCAAAATCTATCATTTTTTTATCTCTTCATGATTTAAGATTTTGAGTTTTCACTGAACGCATTATATGATATCTGCTCTTTAAAAACAGAGGGAGTGTCAATTTATTTTAGATTCTCGAGTGTGTCAGATGATATAGTTACAAATTGCAATATATTGCGAATTATAGAAAATGGGGATTCACTAGGGTACATCTACATGTTCAGTTCTAGAATATATGTGAGTGCTTAAAATGAGTTCTTCTAATCTTAAACCATTTTGTTCGCGGAACTAAACCAATCAAATTTGCAAATTAGGGAGTACCTTCCAATGGGTGGAAGCATAAAGATGATTGAAGAATCACTTAAACTGGCCTATGGGGAGAACTGTGAGTTCATCAAGGACAAGAGGATCGCAGCAGTGCAGGCTCTTTCAGGAACTGGTGCATGTCGCCTCTTTGCAGATTTCCAGAAGCGTTTCTTGCCAGATTCACAGATTTATATACCCACACCTACATGGGCCAAGTAAGTTGGGATATATTCTACTTTGACTTTCACACAGTTCCACGCATGTTTAGACTCCATTTTTTTCTGATTGATAGACCCATATTTTCAGCATTTATTTATCTTTGAATTTTTTTTAAGCATCTCTTTGGTAGTTTGCATTCTTTATACGTGCTTAGCTCATGAAATTCTTCAGCCATCACAATATTTGGAGGGATGCCCAAGTACCACAAAAGACATTTACCTATTACCATCCAGAGTCAAGAGGACTTGACTTTGCAGGCCTAATGGATGATATCAAGGTAATTTATCTGTTCATGAAAAATCTTTAAAATGACTTGGACCATATTTTCTGTGCTGTTGTCAGATGCTGACCCTTAGCTTCTCAAAAATCCCACGCTTGAAGTAAATCTAATACAGAAATGAAAAACTTCCCATCCTCTTGAATTTGAACAATGAAAAACTTCCCATTCTCTGGTCTGGAGGTTTGTGCCTTGTTGACAGGTTGTTTTTGTTTACATCTAATTTCATTTATCATTTCCTTTGGTATCCCAGAATGCTCCAGATGGTTCATTCTTTTTGCTTCATGCTTGTGCGCATAATCCCACTGGAGTAGATCCTTCAGAAGAACAATGGAGGGAGATATCTCATCAGTTCAAGGTATAGAAAGGTGACAATTGTCAATGGTCATTTGCTATATTGTTTTTGCCAGTTATAGTAGTTCTATTTTCTTGATGCCTTTCAGGTGAAGAAACATTTTCCATTCTTCGACATGGCATACCAAGGATTTGCTAGTGGTGATCCAGAGAGAGATGCCAAGGCAATTCGAATATTTCTTGAAGATGGACATCAAATTGGATGTGCACAGTCATATGCGAAAAACATGGGACTTTATGGACAAAGAGCAGGATGCCTTAGGTATTCATTTCCCTGTTTTAATTGTCCTTTTTTTTTCTTCTGCAACAGCTCATTCCCATCTCTTTTAATTATGTTTGTTTTGGATATTTTCCTGTCTTTTCCCATTTCTCCAGCTACATGTTAGTCCCATTATATAGTGGGCATTCAATCAATAGACTTTGAACTTTACAGATTCAATGAATGAACTGGGATTTGCCCTTGGGGATTCAACAGAAGTTACTGTATTTCTCAAGGCATACATTGAAGATGTTTAAATCTTTTCTCATTGCACTTATTAGAACAAAGGCTTTGAAAACAAACACAATTGAGAGACCATTCCTTAATTTTATCTTTTTTCTGCAGTATTCTATGTGATGATGAGATGCAAGCAGTTGCTGTTAAGAGCCAGTTACAACAGATTGCTAGACCTTTGTACAGCAACCCACCCGTTCATGGTGCATTAATTGTTTCAACTATTCTTGGTGATCCGGAGTTGAAAAGTTTATGGCTGAAAGAGGTCAAGGTAGTTATAGTTCATCCTTCCAAACCCTTTTAAAGTAAAGAAAATTTATGAAAACTGTCATAATTATAAGAATTGGTGTGTTTGGAGTTGAGCATTTCCCCCCCTGCCATTTGTCTCAGGGTATGGCTGATCGTATCATTGGAATGCGAACAGCACTCAAAGAGAACCTTGAAAAGTTGGGTTCACCAATGTCATGGGAACATATCACTAATCAGGTAACTTAGCAATCAAACAAATTATGCTTTGATGGGAATTTAGCATAATATTAGTTCTGAAATTGTAATAATGCAAAAATATTCTTTTGATTTTGTGGACAGATTGGAATGTTCTGCTACAGTGGTATGACACCTGAACAAGTCGATCGCTTGACAAAAGAGTTCCATATCTACATGACTCGTAACGGGCGGATAAGGTACTCAATCTTTCATATATAGAGAGCTCCTAATTCTGTTTTCCTCGTACATCTATCTGCATTTCATGAGTGAGCTGAGCCTAATTTTTTTCATTCTCTCCTCCTTCAGCATGGCTGGAGTAACAACAGGAAATGTTGCCTATCTGGCTAATGCTATTCATGAGGTTACCAAGACAAAGTGAGAGTGTTGGAGACATTCCTATCATCATTTTCAGTACCTTTTTACCGACCGCAAAATGGGTCAAATGGTGAAATAAAATTGTAGTCCGATATGATGTGAAATAAAATGGCTGGTAAGCTAGAAAAGGGCAAGTTTATTTTTTGAGGACAAGACTTTTGCTGTACCAGTGAAAACATTTTTTAGGACAAGACTTTACAGTTAGAACGAACGTTCTAACTGTGACAGTGTCATGCTTTGTAAAGGAAGTGTACCTTTCCACCGATGGGCATTTTTGATTGCTCGAGTGTCATCAGGAAGTCCACATACTGTATTAAACAGGCCCAATTTACACCCACAGACGTCTTTAGATGGTTCTAAATTGAGCCTAATGGGCTGATGGCCTTTGTTAGTTCGGCCCACATAGACACCCGACAGTTTATGGGCTAAAATTAGGCTTGTCCAAAATTTCGATTCCGAAAGGAAAAAGTTTACCTGAGATCCCTCGTCTTGTCATCGAGTTTCAAAATTGTCCTTGAACCGAAATACTAGATATAACGCATCCCTAATCTTGCAAAAACAGATCACATTGGGTTCCAAAACAGTATTGCTCCCGGTTTTGGCCGACGTGGTGGCTGAGTCAGTGTGGGACCCACATGTCAACACCTATCCCATCTCTTCCTCTATTCGCAATGCCATTGATGGGTTCTCTCGTCATCGAGGAGCCGGAGCGGGGAGAGCCACGCGACGGCCAGCAACAAGCAAGGAGATCCATGAGCGAGAACTAGAGATAAAGCGAATGACACTTGGTAAAATTCAACTAAATAAAACACAATTGTTCTAGAGGGTGTGCATAGATATTTATAGAGGAAAATAGAGCTAGTGTTAAGTGCTAATTCGTGGAGGTGGAGAGAGATACTTCTGAGATGGGTCTATTCTATTCCCGTTGACTCGAGATGAATTTGGATATGAGACCGGATGCATTTGAAAGGTGACGAGGTAAACTTTCCATCAAGTAGTACAAGATCACCTAAATAGGAGTGGCATGGAGGCGCTAGATCCGTTCGAAGTCAGTGGTATCTCTAGAGGCTGAACTGGACTTGGACTGAATTGTCATTGAAACGTGTGGAGTTATGTGCGTATCCGATGAAGTGATGTCTTCATCATTGCCTGTCGACTCCCGCCGCCGCTGCCGTCGAGAAGGACGATGTCGCCTCATTTTTTTTGGGGGGGGGGGGGGATGGAACAGCGGTATGCAGTCACAACGACCACGTCCATCGAGGATGTGGCCGCAGTCTCCTCATTCAACGACATGCCCGCCGAACCCTCTCCCTCAGCGGCGGCACAGCGGCGACGGTGGGATGGTGCGTTCGAGGTGGGAGAGTCAGCGCTGCGTGGCAACACCTACAGAGGCACAACTCTCATGCCAACGTGGACGCCTCTCGAGTCAATGGGTGGGCGACGCACCGTAACGGCGGTCGCGTCCGCCTCCTCCTCCTTCAACGACGTTTCCACCAAACCCCTGGTGCGAATGGTGGTGCGGTGGCCGATGGTGGGCTGGTACGTTAAAGGTGGGAGAGGAGGTGCGGCACAACAGCGTTAATGGAAGAGGAGGCGCGGACGTTTCGCGAGGATATCGTCCCGGCGACCATGTTCTTCACAGTAGCCGCAGCCTCGTGCAATGGCGCATCCGCTAAGCGCACCACACGATCGGCCGCGCGGCAGGAGCCAAACCCGAGCGGGGGACTGAGGTCCAAGGCAGCCGCGTTGCAGGAGCCGAATTAGAGCGGAGAACCGTTGATGCCGCCGTCAGAGCATCGACATGTGGCTTTCATCCCATGCCTCATGCCCGGTCTGTCGCGGGAAGGCCACGCTTGCCAACAATCCTGCCGATGACATAGCACAGTCGCCTGACATCTGTCATTGTGCCACGCTTGTCCACCCCGCCCGTCGCCAGCCACCACCGTTGAGCTTCTACCCACTGCCGCTGATGTCGAGCTTCTCCCCATTGGCCAGTGCGTGCCTCCCCTGCTAGTCTCCCTCCCCTTCCAATCACCGGCCACCCTGGAGAGAGTACTCAGTACTACTCCTCGACCGGGGAGAGCAGCGACAAGGAGCAACCAGACATGTACGTGCGGAGCCAGCCACGCTGAAGCCCACTGCCGTTGCCGCCTAGCTCTTCTCCCGGCGGCCGACAGGTTCTCAGCTTCTCTCCCGCGTGTTGCATGTCAAGGAAAAGGGAGAAGGGAAAGGGAGGCAAACCGACTGGAGGAGAGATGGAAGAGATAGAGAGCAGAAAAGGTGAAGTACTGAAAAGGGCCCTATGAGATGTGGGTCCTAATATTTTTTTAATATTTTTTTTGCATGACATATGTACCCCATATTTTAAAAACATTTAATTTAGCTTCCAGCGCCACATTGGACAAGGCCAAGTCAAATCTGTCACGTCACGTTAGCCGAAACCGTTGTCCATCGTTTGAGGACCTTATTTACACTTGTTTTAAAAGTTAAGCGACGAGTCATATTTGGTATTGCAGTTCAAGCACGAATTTCAGACTCGGTGACAACTTGAGAGACCAAAATAAACTTATTTCCGGACCAAAATTACTCGCATTCTTGGGCTGAATTTACATGCAGTAATGGGCCGAATTCCATGCGCTTATCAAAATTACACGAAAGTATGGGCCGAGTTTACTCGCGCTCATGTGGCAAATAACTCGTACTCGTGGGCTGAAATACACGCCCGTAAAGGCTGTGCATTCACTGCACGCAATCACAGGCCAAATTTACTTGCTATCCAGGCCGAGTTCAGACGAAAATAAGGGCGGAATTTACAGGCTGGGCCTAATTCTGTAATTTACGAGCAAATATGGCAACCTTCTGATTCATTTCAACATATAATAACAAACACCATATGCCCACCCAACAGCACACACGGCCACACGGCCACACGGGCATTCCCATCAGTAATAACAGGATAAGTTGATCATAATAGAAACAACAGTCAATTCGCATATAATGGCATACGAATCGACCATCATTGACACATTCAATTTTATCATGATTACATCAGTTGTGAATATGAGGTTGAATGGATGCAGGTGCGGTACAGGCATGGAACATACAGCAAAGGAAGTTTCAACATAAAAGTCACCCTCCACAGCTTAACAATACACCCACCATCCCTCCAGCTATTCGGGCTCCTCTTGGCAGAACACTGGACACAATGGCCTCCTCAAGGTTTAACATTTGATTGTAGTACGGCACACCGCACACTACCTTGTCAGGGGAGCCCATTTTCAGCTTTGCAAGAAGATGATTAGGTTCTAAAACCTTAAGGTGAGAAATGTTATTTGCCCTTTGGCATACACAGGTATGAGCAGACAAGTGTAAATGTCGTCATACCACACTTCGTCCTATGGTCCAGTGCAAAACAATGAATTAAAATCCTGAATGCCGCTGCGCATGTTCTGGTAACAGCCTGCTCACGAGCTCTGGGTGTGTATTTGCTAACTGCAAAACAGGTGATACAAAGAGCTCTCTGTTCAGTAACTTCTACTATAAGCATCTCTGCTAGGTAATAATATGCCTAGGCTAGTAGGCTATACAACAAAATGTGATGCTACAAAAGCTGGGGGCATATATGTCCAAAGCATACAACCCTGCTAGCTGTTTGTCTCTAAAATATTTTCAATGATTGAATCACTGCTATTTTTTGGAGCTCCATAGTCCATATACTAGTAAAATGCCATACTACAGTATTGTAGCATTATATTACTTTTGTAACAAATCTACAGATACCATTTTTCATGTCCAAAAATACTTAGCACATATAATGATAGTAAAAAATTACAGAAGTTTGATTACAAGCTCTACAAACGGAGATGTATTTAGGTATGATGCGACAATGGTATTGTCTTGAAATAACTTACTTCTTGCTTAAAGTTGAACAGAGGCGGAAACGGACGGCCATTTGGCAGTTTTGCATGTGGTTCTCGTAACTCATCAAAAAATGAATGAGCACATGCCTCCAGCTGTAATAATAACACAAAGAGTAATTAAGAGGCTTGCAGGACATGCCAAATATTTTTATCATATATCAGATGACCTAATTGGGAACAAGACAAGACAAAGAAAATATATTTCAGAGCAAGAGAGGAAGTGATAAATTTCAGAGCAAGAGAGGAAGTGATAAAAGCTTGAGATATGGTGATTATTTTATTAACTAACTTGTACGTGTGTATGATGAACATTACGACAAGCATAAATTCTGTGTGAAAATGCAAGTGATAACATCAACTCATCACTTCCAATTTTGAAACCAATATTTCTTCAATTGGCTAAGAGAGCGGGCCAAATCAATCCAACAACCCTTATGCAAGTTGTTAAACCATGAAAGGTGGGATAGGTCGGTACTTCATGCCTCTATTCACTTGCATTCCTACCAGTAGAAGCATAGACTCTAAAAATGTCACATTATTTTGACTTCAGAGGATTTAAAATAGAATATAGTGAGCATAACCTGTACTCCCTCCGTTTCACAATGTAAGTCATTCTAGCATTTCCCACATTCATATTGATGTTAATGAATCTAGACAAATATATCTATCTAGATTCATTAACATAAATATGAATGTGGGAAATGCTAGAATGACTTACATTGTGAAACGGAGGGAGTAACAAGGTAAACAACTAAACATGCACAAAGGAAGGGTGTGGATAACATCAGGTGAAGCAGAAGTTCATAGCGCATGACACTAAGTTTTTCCACAAATTAATGTCAGAACATCAAGTACGCATGAACAGTACAAAATCACAAAGAGAGCTGAAGGGAGTGATAAAAGCTATTGTATATATTCGATATGTCTAACATGGAGATAAAAAATTATCCAGTGAATGCCTTCCCTACTAGACTGTATACATCATAGTAATGAGGAATACATTGCTAGCATATTATGTGATATTAGAATTTTAAGAATGGAAGAAGGAAAACTGAAAGTGCGTCTAGGCCCCTAATTATTTTGGTGATTAATAATAATGTGATTAGAGAGGACTAACAACTTATTTGAGTATGAGTTGAGGATTCCTGGACGGTTAGGTGTCACTCTTGATCCACTGATTCACTTGTGGTTGGCCAGGAGAAGTTTGTGAGGGTCAGATCTCACCACCGAAAGGAAAGAGTTACCATTAGTGGAATGAGTGTTTTGTGCAACCTCTAGAGGAAAGGGTTAGCGAAGACCTGGCTCTTGGTGAGCTCCTCAACGGAGACTAGAATCCCCTCAAGTATTCAAACTTCAGGAACACCTCATCTTGCAAGAACCTCGG